CAAGTGAATTCTTATCTGATGGGCCCAGGGAGTATGTGGGTGTGACGGGTGTGTGTGTACACAAATTACTTGTTTTTATTCCTGTCTTTCTCCTGTTTTCTAAGCATCCATTGTGTCTTAACCTTTTCTGCCTGTCCTTTGGACAAAGCCTTTTACTAAATGTCCTTTGAATATTCTGATTGTTTTGTACCATGTGACTTATTAATAATAAAATCCGTTTCCAGCAGCTTTGGTGTTTATGATATGAGTAATGCGAGTGTGCGATTACAGCCTGGGAGCTGATCACAGCTGCGTGTTGGCTTTTTATTGACTGTGCGCCAGGGATGCAGCCCTCAGGCTCCCTGCTGCACCACGGAGCAGCCCGGGTGCAGTTTTCCAGTCTTGGTGGTTGGTCAGTAAGAAGGTCCAAGAGAGGTTTGGGGGTTCGTGGTGGGAACCAAGGCAGGAGCTCTGCGGGGAGGCAGGGAACAAGGAGTGACAGGCTGCTGGGCCCTTGTCCCTGTCCTGTGGCCCTGAGCCACCTGTCGCCAGGTGCCTCCTCACACCTGGGGGTGGGGCCCAGGGCAGTGTCTCAGGAGATGGCAGAGAACCCAGGAGGTGTGGGCGATTCTCAGCCCTCCCTGAGGACTCCCCAGGGCCAGGGCAGGGGGCAGTTTGTTTCCCACAGATCCTGTTGGGCAAGGACGGCTTCAGGCCGGCCCTCTGTGGCGCTGTGGACCCCACAGGAAGCTGCGCGACAGGATAACCTGGGCGTTGTTCCTGTGGGTGAGCATCGTCTGGAGGTTGGGGAAGTCCTGTGCCCGGAAAGCCTGGAAAGAGAACGGGACTCATCTGAGAGGCTGCGCCTGCCGATGGCACAGATACCCCATCTTGGTGGTTCAAGGAGCACCATCGACCTGGGGCCTGGCAGGCCTGGAGCCCTTCCTCTACCCAGGCCCCTCTGCCCTCTCCACTAGGTTAGTTTCCTGTGGCTGCTGTAACCAGTGACCACAACCTTGGTGGCTCAAAACAGCTCACTCACCGTCTCAGTCCTGGAGGTCAGAAGCCTGAAATGAACTCACTGGCTGAGATGAGGGTGTGGGCAGGGCTGCATTCCGTGCTCGAGGCAAGAACCTGTTTACTGTTCCAGCTTCCAGAGGCCGCCTGCGCTCCTTGGCTCGTGGTCCCTCCCTCCACCTTCAAGCCGGGGAAGGAGACGGGCGTCCTCAGCCTGCACTGACTGTCCCTCCTCACACCTCTTTCTCCGAATCTCGTCTGCCTTCCACGTCCAGGGTTAAGGACCCTTGTGGTTATTACTGCACTGGGCCAAGGTGGAGAGTCCGCATCTCCCTACAGTCAGCTGATTAGCTACTGAATTCCTCTTTGCCTGGAAACTTACAGCCTGGGAGCTGATCGCAGCTGTGTGTTGGCTTTTTATTAACTACTAGTGGCCCGGTGCACAGATTCGTGCACATTGAAAGGAAATTAATTAGAAGAAATACTTTAATAATATTGCTATTTGCCCTTTCTCTATAAAGAAGTGTCAACCAAATTCACGATCAACAATGAGAGATCGAAACACACGTGTGCCATTGGCGCTAGTGAGAGCTTTATATGTATTGCGCATGGGTGAGTCAACTTAGCCTTTTATAGATATAGAATAAACTTGCTTAATTAGACCTGCTTTCTGATGTAGCTAAACTTTTTCCAGCCCAGTGAAGCACCCCAACTTCTCTTTCAGGTAATTGTCAGCAACACAGCAGTAAATATCAACACGAAGCAGATTATTACTGTAGATCACGCAGGGAGAACAAAGGGTAAAATATTTAACTGCAGCAGTGTTTGACTGTATTCTGCACAGTGAGAAAACCTGAAGTTATTTTCAAGGTTCACCAGTTCTTACTTCTTTTCAGTCAGGTCAAGTTTCTAAACTTTCTAAATCTCTGTTTTCCGGCTGATGAAAAGAAACTAGGATTCCACTGAGTCTCCTATCTACCTACTCCAGGACTTATGTGAGGATCAAATGAGATGAGGCACGGAAAATGCTTCACAGACATTTGGTTACAGTGTGAAATGTTTGCACCTGGCTATAAAGCAAGTCCTGTTCCTGGGCTGAAGAAACTGCAAGGAGGCTAGTGGTCGCTAGGGAGAGGAAGCCGGGTGTTGCTATGTGACAGCATTACCCGGACGGACACTTAGCATATTAGCCTTTTATATGGAGAGAAGATGCGGCAAGGAATGCAGCCCTCGGGCTTGGGCTCCCGTACTGAATGCCACGGAGCAGCCAGAGTGAGGTTTTCCGATCTTGACGGATGGTCAGAGTAAGAAGGCCCAAGAGGGTCCTTAATTCCTCTTTGCCTGTAAATTCTGATTCACAGGCTCCAGGGATTAGGACACAGGATCTTGGGAGCCTTGCTTCTGCCTACCACACCCCCGCTTTCACTGCGGCCCTCCCTGCTTTGTGCTCATTTACCTCCTCTCTGCCCATCTCTGACCAGGCATCCTCGGTCCTCGCACCCCCTGCGCTGGTGGCCAGGTGAGCCGAGTGGCTGCGTGTCTGTGTGGAGGCTCAGGCTGACTGGGGGACCCCCTCCCAGCACCATAGAGGAGCTCCTGCTCCAGACACCCTTTCTGACTGGCTCACTCTGCCCAGGCCTCCTCCCTGACCACAGCCCAGTCTCCACTGATGCCCAGTTGTTTTTTGGGCATAAGTTCAGAAAGTGTGTCTACACGCGTGCACGCACGCACACATGCACCCCATTTCAGTCCTCAGCGGGCTCCTCCACAGAAGGGCTTTGTGCTCTCTGTGCCTCCCAGCACCACAGGGGAGAGGACAGGACACTGCACACCCGGACCACCTCACTACATCCTCCTCTCCTGCCCCCCATCCCCGTTCTAGGCTCAGTTCCGCCTTCACTGCTCTGCTTGCATCTGCCCAGGGCCACATGCTCCAGGCACAGCTGGAGACCAGCTGACCCCTAGAAACCACCCAGTGTGGCCTGAAGAGGGAGCCAGCAGGTAGGGGGAGCGGTTGGGTGCTGAGGGCGGCCTCTCAGTTTGTGATCCCAGTTCCAGGCACCCTGAGGGGCCAAAGGGAGCGGGAGCCCAACCGGGAAGGGTCCCCTGGGAGTCGCTTCCTGGTCCCTGATGCGCTCTGCCTGCTCTCACACTGTGTGCTGCCTGCTCTCACACTGTGTGCTGCCTGCTCTCACACTGTGCTGCCTGCACTGTGGGCGCCCGAGGGTGAGCCCTGGTTTATGCCTCCCCACAAGGCGGCACCAGCTGAAATCCAGGCTCCGAGCAGGTGTTTGGCAACGTGAACTCTAGGACGCCCACCCGCCCCTGTCCCCAGCCCTCGGCACACAGAGACTGAGTCGCCTGCAATGAGAGGACAAGCCTCAGGGCCCACCCCTTTGCAGGAGCCCCTGCCCAGGCCCTGGAAGGACTTGGCACTGTGTTCAATGGTTTTTGTAGAATTTGCAAAAGTAGGATTTAAAAATTATTTTTTCTTACAGAGGACCCTACAATTATTGAAGTCCTGGGTTAGTCCTCGCCCACAACATACTGGCTCCACTTGTTTCTAGAACACACCTGCAATCTTTCACCTCTGGCATCCTCAACCGCCTCCCCTTGGCTGCCCAGCATAGCACCTGTCCACATTCCCTTCACCCTTCGCAGGGACGGCCGTCCCCTGGGAACAGACTGGTCTCTCCTGCAACACACCTTCTCTCCTGGAGGGCCAGGACCTGCTCATTGTCCAGCTTTCCTCTCTGCTGTGTAGCCTTAAGCAAGTTCTACCACCTGCCTGGCTTCCATTTCCTCTTCTCTAAAATGAGCTCCGGTTTCATCGTCTGTGAAGTGGGGACATTGAGTGACAGATGTGAAAGCATCTCTGGCCTGCAGTGGCTGCATCTGTCTGTGGTTATGTCCGGTTCATTCATTCACTCATCCCACTTGATGGTCCCAGGTCATTTCATGCCCCCTTTGTTCCCGCCTGCACGTTTCTTGGGGCTGCCTCAACACGATACTGTACATGAGGGTGGGTGCTTAAACAACAAGTGTATTGTCTCAGTTCAGGAGGCTAGAAGTCTGCAAGGTGTAGGCAGCCGCAAGCTCGCTCTGAGGCTGTAGGTGTAGGGGGTCCCTCCTGCCTCTCTCAGCCTCTGGGGTTCTGCTGGCAGTCTATGGTGCTCGTCATCACATGGCTCCCCCTGTGTGTCTGTCCTTACAGGGCCTTCCTCGTAAGGACCCCAGTCATAGCGGACTAGGGACCCACTCCCCTTCTCTTCATCCTGACTACACCTGCAATGATCCTATTCCCAGCTAAGGTCACTGAGGGTTGGGCTTCAACATAGCTTTACCGGGGGACACACAGTTCAACCCATAACACCACCCTGATGGTTTATTATTTTGGTCTTGGGGCTTTTAAAAAATGTCAACTGGCAGCTGGTAGCTCAATTGGTTGGAGCATCGTCCCCTATACCAAAAGGTTGCAGGTTCAATTCTCTGTTAGGACACATACCTAGGTTGTGAGTTCAATACCTGGTTGGGGCTTGTGTGGGAGGCAACCAATCAATGTTTCTGTCTCTCCCACTTCCCTCTCCCTTCCTCTCTCTCTAAAATCAATAATAATAATAAAACGTATCTTCAGGTGAGGATTAAAAAGAAATCTTTAAAAAAGTAAAGTAAATGCAAATGCATCTAGGGTTGTTTGAAAATACCAGCTGCCTTGTTGCCTGGAGAAGCAGGCCTGGCTCAGCCAGCACCTGGCTCTGGAGGCCCCTAGAGCAGAGGAGGCCCCTAGAGATTGCCGATGGGGGTGGGTGCAGGGGGACAGGGTCTTCGTGGCTCCCAGACACCCCTTAACTCCTCAGGTAACAGGTCACTGAACAATCAACACAGGCAACCCCACTGTCGTCTGAGGCTGGGGCGTTTCTGGGTCATTCTCCACCACTGACATCACCACCTCAGCTCCTGGGAGCCGCCTGGCACTCGTTCCCTGTCCAAACCAGCCCCAAGTTTCAGAGAAGGCGGGCAGCTTACCCAGCCTCAGCCAGGACAGGTGGCAGGGCAGGCCGGGGTCACGACTTCAGTTTTTAAAAAGTCTGGTGCCCCGCCCTAGCCGGTTTGGCTCAGTGGATAGAGTGTCGGCCTTCGGACTGAAGGTTCCCAGGTTCGATTCTGGTCAAGGGCACATGTTTGGGTTGTGGGCTTGATCCCCAATAGGGGGCGTACAGAAGGCAGCCAATCAGTGATTCTCATCATTGATGTTTCTTTCTCTCTCTCCCTCTCCCGTCTTCTCTGAAATCAATAAATATCTATTTTAAAAAATTAATAACAGTAATAAAAGTCTGGTGCCCCATGGCTGGCTGCTTTTGGTGCCCTGACCCAGCCGCACCGGGTCGGCCACAGTCCTTGCCTGCAGGTTGCTGCTCCCACTTTGGCCAGCAGGGGGCAGCTGAGCCCGTCCTTTCCTCCAGTTCAGCTGCAGAGGCTGCAAGATGGCACCGCCCACACGACCTACGCAGCTGGAAAAACAAGGGGCAGAATCGGGGGGCTTGCCCACATCCTCGCTGAGCAGGCGCCCTGGCTCCTTCCTCCCATCCATGATGGGGGAGTCCCTGACCCCTGACCTCCAGGAGTACCCGATACAGGGGGGTTCCCCTAGGTTCCTCATTTGGTGATGGGACCCACATTATTCAAAGGTCAGGATCCATGTCCTGAAAATTGATTCTGCTTTGGAATTTTTAAAATTTTCCCGTGAAGTTTTCCTATTTAAAAGTAGGGTTATTGGGGGGAGTCCAGGATGTGGGTGGGCACACCCTGAGACGACTCATCTCCCTCCTGCTTCGCCCTGTGCCCACAGGAGCCGACTGCCCCAGGTCCTCCCCCTTCCCAGCTGTCCAGGCCCGTCTCTCAGCGCCTCCCTCCCCCACCCATACTGAGCCCTCCAGCTATTTTAAACTACTTGTCACAAGCAGTAATAACCCCAGCTCTGCCCTAGGACTTCTGTGTCTCCTGCCCACTTGACCTTGGCATTTGGTGGAGGGGGTGGTGGTGACTGTTGACTTTCTGGGCCAGTGAGAGCACAGGGCTCCCTCCCCATCAAGGTCAGCAGCCTCAGGGGCCGCTGGAACCTCTCAGACGGTTTCCCTCTCCCTGTGAAAGCCCTGGCACCACGCACACCTCGTTCACCAATGCCCCTCAGGTGGGCCCAGGGGATCCGAGCAGAACCTCCTTCCCAGGTTCAAGGACAGTCTGAGCCAAGGCCCGGGGAACCAGGTTCCTCTCCACAGCCTTCCCTCTGCTGGAGGCTGGGGAGCAAGGACACAGGTGCTTGGCTTGGGGGAGAGGGGGGTCTGGTGAGCACTTAGGAGCAGGGCTGCAGGACACAGGGAGGTGCCCGGGAGCCAGTGGAGGAGCCGGCAGGAGAAGGGCAGCGCTGGCTCCAGGCAGGAGGCCAGCTTGGGCAGGGCTCAGGGTAGTTGAGGAGTGGAGGGTCAGTGGGG